CTAGATATTGACCCGAGGAATCGATTGCGACCCTTATTTTGGCGATCAGACGAACCCTTGAGGCACTTTTGACGCGCCCCTTCCTTTAAGGGCCGATTAAGGGGTAAGGGGTAAGTTGCACACATCTGGAACCCGAGGCTGCGGCTAGATATTGACCCGAGGAATCGATTGCGACCCTTATTTTGGCGATCAGACGAACCCTTGAGGCACTTTTGACGCGCCCCTTCCTTTAAGGGCCGATTAAGGGGTAAGGGGTAAGTTGCACACATCTGGAACCCGAGGCTGCGGCTAGATATTGACCCGAGGAATCGATTGCGACCCTTATTTTGGCGATCAGACGAACCCTTGAGGCACTTTTGACGCGCCCCTTCCTTTAAGGGCCGATTAAGGGGTAAGGGGTAAGTTGCACACATCTGGAACCCGAGGCTGCGGCTAGATATTGACCCGAGGAATCGATTGCGACCCTTATTTTGGCGATCAGACGAACCCTTGAGGCACTTTTGACGCGCCCCTTCCTTTAAGGGCCGATTAAGGGGTAAGGGGTAAGTTGCACACATCTGGAACCCGAGGCTGCGGCTAGATATTGACCCGAGGAATCGATTGCGACCCTTATTTTGGCGATCAGACGAACCCTTGAGGCACTTTTGACGCGCCCCTTCCTTTAAGGGCCGATTAAGGGGTAAGGGGTAAGTTGCACACATCTGGAACCCGAGGCTGCGGCTAGATATTGACCCGAGGAATCGATTGCGACCCTTATTTTGGCGATCAGACGAACCCTTGAGGCACTTTTGACGCGCCCCTTCCTTTAAGGGCCGATTAAGGGGTAAGGGGTAAGTTGCACACATCTGGAACCCGAGGCTGCGGCTAGATATTGACCCGAGGAATCGATTGCGACCCTTATTTTGGCGATCAGACGAACCCTTGAGGCACTTTTGACGCGCCCCTTCCTTTAAGGGCCGATTAAGGGGTAAGGGGTAAGTTGCACACATCTGGAACCCGAGGCTGCGGCTAGATATTGACCCGAGGAATCGATTGCGACCCTTATTTCGGCGATCAGACGAACCCTTGAGGTACTTTTGACGCGCCCCTTCCTTTAAGGGCCGATTAAGGGGTAAGGGGTAAGTTGCACACATCTGGAACCCGAGGCTTCGGCTAGATATTGACCCGAGGAATCGATTGCGACCCTTATTTTGGCGATCAGACGAACCCTTGAGGCACTTTTGACGCGCCCCTTCCTTTAAGGGCCGATTAAGGGGTAAGGGGTAAGTTGCACACATCTGGAACCCGAGGCTGCGGCTAGATATTGACCCGAGGAATCGATTGCGACCCTTATTTTGGCGATCAGACGAACACTTGAGGCACTTTTGACGCGCCCCTTCCTTTAAGGGCCGATTAAGGGGTAAGGGGTAAGTTGCACACATCTGGAACCCGAGGCTGCGGCTAGATATTGACGCGAGGAATCGATTGCGACCCTTATTTTGGCGATCAGACGAACCCTTGAGGCACTTTTGACGCGCCCCTTCCTTTAAGGGCCGATTAAGGGGTAAGGGGTAAGTTGCACACATCTGGAACCCGAGGCTGCGGCTAGATATTGACCCGAGGAATCGATTGCGACCCTTATTTTGGCGATCAGATGAACCCTTGAGGCACTTTTAACGCGCCCCTTCCTTTAAGGGCCGATTAAGGGGTAAGGGGTAAGTTGCACACATCTGGAACCCGAGGCTGCGGCTAGATATTGACCCGAGGAATCGATTGCGACCCTTATTTTGGCGATCAGACGAACCCTTGAGGCACTTTTGACGCGCCCCTTCCTTTAAGGGCCGATTAAGGGGTAAGGGGTAAGTTGCACACATCTGGAACCCGAGGCTGCGGCTAGATATTGACCCGAGGAATCGATTGCGACCCTTATTTTGGCGATCAGACGAACCCTTGAGGCACTTTTGACGCGCCCCTTCCTTTAAGGGCCGATTAAGGGGTAAGGGGTAAGTTGCACACATCTGGAACCCGAGGCTGCGGCTAGATATTGACCCGAGGAATCGATTGCGACCCTTATTTTGGCGATCACACGAACCCTTGAGGCACTTTTGACGCGCCCCTTCCTTTAAGGGCCGATTAAGGGGTAAGGGGTAAGTTGCACACATCTGGAACCCGAGGCTGCGGCTAGATATTGACCCGAGGAATCGATTGCGACCCTTATTTTGGCGATCAGACGAACCCTTGAGGCACTTTTGACGCGCCCCTTCCTTTAAGGGCCGATTAAGGGGTAAGGGGTAAGTTGCACACATCTGGAACCCGAGGCTGCGGCTAGATATTGACCCGAGGAATCGATTGCGACCCTTATTTTGGCGATCAGACGAACCCTTGAGGCACTTTTGACGCGCCCCTTCCTTTAAGGGCCGATTAAGGGGTAAGGGGTAAGTTGCACACATCTGGAACCCGAGGCTGCGGCTAGATATTGACCCGAGGAATCGATTGCGACCCTTATTTTGGCGATCAGACGAACCCTTGAGGCACTTTTGACGCGCCCCTTCCTTTAAGGGCCGATTAAGGGGTAAGGGGTAAGTTGCACACATCTGGAACCCGAGGCTGCGGCTAGATATTGACCCGAGGAATCGATTGCGACCCTTATTTTGGCGATCAGACGAACCCTTGAGGCACTTTTGACGCGCCCCTTCCTTTAAGGGCCGATTAAGGGGTAAGGGGTAAGTTGCACACATCTGGAACCCGAGGCTGCGGCTAGATATTGACCCGAGGAATCGATTGCGACCCTTATTTTGGCGATCAGACGAACCCTTGAGGCACTTTTGACGCGCCCCTTCCTTTAAGGGCCGATTAAGGGGTAAGGGGTAAGTTGCACACATCTGGAACCCGAGGCTGCGGCTAGATATTGACCCGAGGAATCGATTGCGACCCTTATTTTGGCGATCAGACGAACCCTTGAGGCCCTTTTGACGCGCCCTTTCCTTTAAGGGCCGATTAAGGGGTAAGGGGTAAGTTGCACACATCTGGAACCCGAGGCTGCGGCTAGATATTGACCCGAGGAATCGATTGCGACCCTTATTTTGGCGATCAGACGAACCCTTGAGGCACTTTTGACGCGCCTCTTCCTTTAAGGGCCGATTAAGGGGTAAGGGGTAAGTTGCACACATCTGGAACCCGAGGCTGCGGCTAGATATTGACCCGAGGAATCGATTGCGACCCTTATTTTGGCGATCAGACGAACCCTTGAGGCACTTTTGACGCGCCCCTTCCTTTAAGGGCCGATTAAGGGGTAAGGGGTAAGTTGCACACATCTGGAACCCGAGGCTGCGGCTAGATATTGACCCGAGGAATCGATTGCGACCCTTATTTTGGCGATCAGACGAACCCTTGAGGCACTTTTGACGCGCCCCTTCCTTTAAGGGCCGATTAAGGGGTAAGGGGTAAGTTGCACACATCTGGAACCCGAGGCTGCGGCTAGATATTGACCCGAGGAATCGATTGCGACCCTTATTTTGGCGATCAGACGAACCCTTGAGGCACTTTTGACGCGTCCCTTCCTTTAAGGGCCGATTAAGGGGTAAGGGGTAAGTTGCACACGTCTGGAACCCGAGGCTGCGGCTAGATATTGACCCGAGGAATCGATTGCGACCCTTATTTTGGCGATCAGACGAACCCTTGAGACACTTTTGACGCGCCCCTTCCTTTAAGGGCCGATTAAGGGGTAAGGGGTAAGTTGCACACATCTGGAACCCGAGGCTGCGGCTAGATATTGACCCGAGGAATCGATTGCGACCCTTATTTTGGCGATCAGACGAACCCTTGAGGCACTTTTGACGCGCCCCTTCCTTTAAGGGCCGATTAAGGGGTAAGGGTAAGTTGCACACATCTGGAACCCGAGGCTGCGGCTAGATATTGACCCGAGGAATCGATTGCGACCCTTATTTTGGCGATCAGACGAACCCTTGAGGCACTTTTGACGCGCCCCTTCCTTTAAGGGCCGATTAAGGGGTAAGGGGTAAGTTGCACACATCTGGAACCCGAGGCTGCGGCTAGATATTGACCCGAGGAATCGATTGCGACCCTTATTTTGGCGATCAGACGAACCCTTGAGGCACTTTTGACGCGCCCCTTCCTTTAAGGGCCGATTAAGGGGTAAGGGGTAAGTTGCACACATCTGGAACCCGAGGCTGCGGCTAGATATTGACCCGAGGAATCGATTGCGACCCTTATTTTGGCGATCAGACGAACCCTTGAGGCACTTTTGACGCGCCCCTTCCTTTAAGGGCCGATTAAGGGGTAAGGGGTAAGTTGCACACATCTGGAACCCGAGGCTGCGGCTAGATATTGACCCGAGGAATCGATTGCGACCCTTATTTTGGCGATCAGACGAACCCTTGAGGCACTTTTGACGCGCCCCTTCCTTTAAGGGCCGATTAAGGGGTAAGGGGTAAGTTGCACACATCTGGAACCCGAGGCTGCGGCTAGATATTGACCCGAGGAATCGATTGCGACCCTTATTTTGGCGATCAGACGAACCCTTGAGGCACTTTTGACGCGCCCCTTCCTTTAAGGGCCGATTAAGGGGTAAGGGGTAAGTTGCACACATCTGGAACCCGAGGCTGCGGCTAGATATTGACCCGAGGAATCGATTGCGACCCTTATTTTGGCGATCAGACGAACCCTTGAGGCACTTTTGACGCGCCCCTTCCTTTAAGGGCCGATTAAGGGGTAAGGGGTAAGTTGCACACATCTGGAACCCGAGGCTGCGGCTAGATATTGACCCGAGGAATCGAATGCGACCCTTATTTTGGCGATCAGACGAACCCTTGAGGCACTTTTGACGCGCCCCTTCCTTTAAGGGCCGATTAAGGGGTAAGGGGTAAGAGCTAGGGCCAAATAAAGGTCATATTCTTGCTCCCCGTCCCCCAATTGACCTAATACGAGTTTTTTAAGCGATTCTGAATCCGACGCTGTATTCGTTGCTGTTGCTGACGCTAACTTCACGGACATGCGGACATGTGACAATCGCGAATGTAAACAAAGGACTTTTGACTGATTATTTTACAACTTAAATGTAAATAAAATTACATTGCTATAATTTTGTTAATCTTTCTTAACCCGCGCCCCGTAGGGCTACCGGCGGACCCTACCACCCGTAGGGGGGGGCCGTTTCGGCCCCCCCCCTAAGATCTCGGAAAGTTACCGGCCGATTTTCAAAATTCAAACGGCGTTTGATAGCCCTACCCGGGAACTACCTTGTGACCAAATTTCATTGACCTAGGTCAAACCGATGACGTCACAGGTCAGGTCAAAGGTCAGATTTTCACCGTTCACAGGCAATTCAAGAAATGTGCTGTGAAATCGAGTAAATTGGTAATTTATTGAAAACCATCGATGGTATATTGTTCGTCAAACACAAACTTTGCTATCTGAGGTCACTGATACCAGGTCAGGTCACAGCGAGGTCAGGTCACCGGGGGTAACAATATGAATGTGTCGTGTGATACATGTTTTATGGTCCATTTTACATGACAAATGCGATTATGTGGGTTAGGCAGCCTTTGGGGCCAGCCTAGGTCACGTTTTGGTGAAGGTCAGGTCAAGGTCAGGTCAAATTAGGTCAAATTTCAAAGTTGATATTTTTGCATAAAATGGGTATCCATTCGATGCAGCTCGTCACGGGGAGTCTAATGGTGGTCTTTGTTTTGCTCTACGAGTTCTAGAATTGCCAAAAAATGAGTTTGAAAATTTGACGTCATCATTTTTGAACAGTTTTTTTCGCTATAACTTGGCCAAAAAACGAGGTATCGATCTGAAATTTGGTATGTAGATAGAAGACAGTAGGTACTATCACATGTATTCCGGTTTTTTCGAAACTCAAAAAACTTTTTGGATTTTTGGGCTAATATATCCAAAAAAATGCTTTTTTGATTTTTGGGGATCAAAACTCAAAAATTTCAAAAATCCGAGATAGCAGTTTTGTAGCCCTGTCAATTCTACACCTTTTATGTCGTGATCATTTTTCTGTATCTTCAAAGCTGTAGGCCTGACAGGTCTTCTCGCGAAGGTCTTTTTTCGGTCGAAAATGACAGAACATGACGTCACTCTGACGTCATTTGTGGCCAACCTATCACAGCCTCTGGAAAAATTTTTGGTCACAATGTGTAAAATTGATGCCCGGAGGGGTCCTGAAAGTTTGGTGGCGATATCTCCAGCCGTTTAGGAGATATCGACCGAAAAGGACAGGGGGGGGGGGCCGTTTCGGCCCCCCCCCCTACGGGGCGCGGGTTAATAAAATTGAAAATAAATTTTGTGTTTCAAGAGAGAACAATCGTCATTCTTTTGGTATATGTGATGCCAATCTCCAGAAATCTCCAGATTGCGTTCCAGCGCCTTCAGTGAAACCTCTGGTAGAGCCTCCAGTCAAGAATTTCTACTGGAGGCGCTGGAACAGGCCCATAATATCCGCCATGTATTGCTACCATATCTATAAAAAAAAACTTCAGCTTATACTGCCTTGCTTCAGCTCAACTCGGGTTATGTCCGTTAATTGGTTTTGCGTCAGCGCTTTTTGTTTTTTGGGTTTGTTGTTTTGTTGGGTCTGTTGGGTTTTGGTTTTCGCTTGTGCTTAATTTTCAAGGTTGTCTTATACTCTATAGGCAAAGTTCTTCATTGTCTTGTCTTGCATTCTCTCTCGAAATGCAAGCTAATATTTTTTTTTTATCAAATTTGAATGGTATGAATTGGAATAGGCGACATGATCCATACCGAATAAAGCAAGAACTTGTTGGAATGTTGGAATGTGAATTCAGAATTATCACACTTGATTGTATGTATTTGAGGGAATGACAATTATTACACATGGCAGCAAGGGCGACGTCTGCTAAGAGTGCACGGTCGGTCCCTGCACTGACTTTGACTGGCTGATTTGGCGGTTGGCGACTGCCTGCCACCAACCGTAAATCAAAATATACCTATCAGGAGGCTAATAAACATTGAGCGCCTGTCCGCTTCAAACCCGGACTTTTGTAACTGGGAGCGCGAGATCTCACCACAAGTTCCCTCAGAGGGCAAGCTCTTCGCAGATGATGCCAAGATTTACAGGCGTATGAGAGGCAATGAGGATCAGCAGCAACTCCAAGCAGACCTGGATAAACTACAAGAGTGGAGCAACAGGTGGTTACTCAAGTTCAATCAGGATAAATGCAAGGTCATGAACTTCGGTAGCAGAAATCCCAACTGCAGCTACAGCATGGGAGGAGTTCAACTGGCTCACTCTGAACAAGAAAAGGACCTTGGAGTTCTGATTTCAACAGATCTCAAGCCCTCAGCACAAGTTGCCAAAGCTGTGTCCTCAGCAAACTCCATGTTGGGCCGTATAAGGAGTACGTTCACATGCCTCAATGACAAGATCCTTCCACCACTATACAAGGCGCTGGTTTGACCCAGGATGGAGTTTGCAATCCAGACATGGTCACCCTATCTCAAAAAAGACATTCAAAAGCTTGAAAAGGTGCAGAGGAGAGCGACAAAGCTGGTTCCCTCACTTAGAAATTTACCATATGAAGACCGACTGAGTGCTCTTGGGCTGACAACGTTAGAGCAGCGAAGAACTCGCGGAGATATGCTTCAAACTTTCAAGATCCTGAAAGGTCTGGACAGAGTTGAGGTTGACAGCACATTCCTCAAGCTGGATGACAGGTACCTGGGAAGTGGGAACTAGAGGACACCAGATGAAGCTCGTCAAACCAAGACATCGAACACTAAAGCGCAACAAGTTCTTTTCAGCAAGAGTGGTCGACATGTGGAATGGTTTACCAGAACATGTGGTATCCAGCGACAACATCAACCAGTTCAAGAGAAGATATGACCAACATGTCGCAGAACAAATGACGAGAGGGGGTAGCCACTACGAGCATCCTTAGTTTGCTCCCTTACCCCCGTATCCTATCTCTTCGGTAAGCATCTCTTCGGTAAGCACCACCTCTCACCACGTAGAGTCCAATGCTCTACCGAGACTGAGCTATGGGACTTTCTTTTGCTGTCTCCCCCATGTTTACTGGTTCTTGAGCTGGGGGCGTTTAACCCCCCCCCCCCCCCAGGCCCAGCAAGTGGTGTGTGGTGAAATACCCTGGCAGCTGCCAGGTTAATCAAAAGTTGAACATATTGCAGTCCGAAGATGTGGCAACACGGGTTCGGAGAGGCCGACGTAACCTTGCGTTTTCATTGTAATTAATTCATCTGCTCTGCGAACTCAAGCTGCAAACTCGGCTTCCAATGACCCCACACCGACAGCAGCTGAGGGCTCATGCCGGCCTGCGGGAGCCTCGCGCTGGAGCTGAAGGACGCCACTCTGAGGAATATTCCAGGATGTGAGGGTTCACTTGGGCTGACTGGCGATCAAGGGTATTATTTCCGGGCAAAGGACACTCAGTCTGGTGTGAGGCTTGCGAGGTTCTGAACCTCGCCGGCACAGGCCATTTCGCTTCGACGGCACAAGGGGGATTGGTACGACCCCCTCGCGTTTGGACCCTGATCGAGATGGAGCTTCGCGGAAAAAAAAACGGGCGTGCTGCCCGTGACGAGAGAAAGCCGATGATGCCCAAGTTTAATGTCCTAGGTCATCGGTTGACCTTCCAGGTCAGGTCAATGACCCAAAAGTCGGAAAAACGGGACCTGTTAGAACGTCGTAAAGGGTGGCTGCTATGAGGTTTTTTCGGGGTGCTGATCAGGAATATTGTGTGAGCTTTGATCACAGGTGATGTCTTTATGCATTTAGGCCAGGTCAGGTCAGGTGAAGTCAACCAGAAGGGGTCCTGCCGGGTATTCGTAGTACGTATCAACCGCCTCTGACAGTTTCGTAAGATGGTACGATTGCACCAAAACTACTTCGTAAATGTTCAAATGGTTAAAAACTAGCCTAGAAACATGTACAACTCGAAATATGAACCGAGGTTATCAAAGGTCAATGACCTGACCTGACCTTCAAGTTGCCTTGACATACACTCTAATGCATGTGAGCAACATCAAATCACATGTGTGAACGCTTGAAACCACAAAAAGACTGCAACCGCGCAACTAATGCGAGCCGACATACGCCGAATCGCGATTCGGGCCAAACATGGTCTCGAAAAGTAGGTCACAGGTAAAAGGTCATTTGGATCAGGGTCATGAAATATGCAGGGTAGGTGAAAAGTTATCAATGCGAGGGTACTGAAGGTTTCGTCGCGATCGGCCGCTTTTTACGCGAGTTATTTGCGAGAAACCTTAGGGTGGTTGCATTAGCCCCCCCCCCCCCTGTGCCGCCGAGGGTTAAGGACAGAAATTGATGCCTTATTGACCCCATTCTGGCTCTCTAGTTGTACACAAACAAAGTGTGGAATTAAACATGTTGGCATCAGCCATCAACATCTGCTATTTCATCGGCGGAAGTCGGAAAGAGGCCTTTAGATAACGCTCCTCCCTGCCTCATTCCAGAAATAAATATTATTTACTTATGGAGACCTCTCAGCATCTTCTGACTGTCATCATCAGTTTCTTTGTGGTTTTTCCATTGGTGAGTACCTACTCATTTTACATTTTTACGCTATGTTATTGAATGTTAACATCAATAAAGCAATATCTGCTGTATGATGCAATGTTGCTAATTGCTATCGTTCCTAGCCTGATTCAAGGGACCTGGTTGCCACATCCCCCCCCCCCCCAATGAGGCTTGACTTATCCATACTGATCTTGACTGATAGCAGCACCTTATCGATTATTGTGGATTATTGATCATATAATTTCAGATCGGTGCCCGGTGATGACACCTTGCATCGTAACGGCGCGTAGGCGGTAGGATATTTGAATTTCACACACTACACCAGTCACCAGGGATACAATGTGTGACCGTCATTCGTTCTCAGTTGAGAGTGTCGTGTTATGTTCTAGCATCTGCACGCGAAGCAGGACGTTGTGTTCAGGTACGGTCTGCTGGAGACGAGGCCGACAGATGGCGCTCAGGGCCGACGCTACTGTGTCACCTACTTCCCCAAAGTGCACAACCTCACCATGGACAGCACCAACACGGTGGGTGGTGCAAAGACGGGTGCTCTATTCCACGTGGTAAGATGCAGTGTAAATGTAAAGTTATGTGGTGAGTGATACATTGTCAGTTATAAACAATGTTCTATGTTTTTAATTTTGTATGCATTATTAGTCAACATTTGTCTAAAAATTGGACATTAACATCGAACTTGTATAGCATATTGCGTCTTTTTCGCTCTTAATATTGTGTTTTGTCGGCGTCGTTTTTTCTGCCACTTTACCTAATTGTAAGCTGGCTAAATCTGAGCGACCTCTGAGATGTCACCTATCCACCTGAACCCGCCTGACCTCTGTGCCTCTGTGTGTGACCTTCCAGACGAGTCACCCGGTGTCGGACCTGACCGAGTGGGACGGCTGCGGCCCGCCGCCGGCGCCGGCGCCGGCCACTGCCGGCCGCTGGGTGTTCCTCAACCAGTCCAAGGCGGCCAACTGCTCCATCGACCAGCGGGTGGCTAATTTACTGGTGAGCGCTGCCAGCGTCGCCCCCGCTCTTAACTCGCGTATTTGCTTCAACTGTTTTGCTTGATCGCCTCACTGATGTGCTTAATCACAGCTTAACCGGCCCTGTTTATCCGTTAAGTCGGTTCCGGCTGACGGTTTTGCGTGTATGCTCCAACTGGTCTGTTCGTTTGCCTCACTTTCGTCCTCAACCACCATCCAGCTGTGCTGAGTTGACTAGTAACCCTCCTACCGATTCTCTAATGTTGCAGACGCTGCAGGCAGCCGGCATTGTGATCCAGGTCAATGAGTCGTACGACGACCTGGCCGCCAGCACCAACAGCTCGCCGATGCCCGTCACCTTCATCAGCTGGCGCCACGTGCCAGCGATTGTGGTCAGTGTCCTCCCTGCCATTCGGTCACGTGCTCGCTTCGAGAGTGTCGCTATGACAAGCCAAATGCTACTGAGTAGGCGACGTGAACGTATACGTCAATGTGTCTTTCGTTGGCAAGGCAAGGAAGTAGGATACTCGCTTTTACAACCCTCATTGTCGCTGAGCTGCATCTGTCTACTGTCTTAGATGCATGTATGCATGCATGACATGAGGAACAAATTGAAACTAGAAGCGTTACACGCCAGTTTTCACCTGAAACCGACCAAGGCCTGGACGCGACGATCTATTTTTCGCTTGGTATTGGGCATATGACCTTTTGGCGTATGAACTTGATGTTCGTTTTATCCATGTCTACTGCATCAAACAGGTCCGTTAGTAATATTTGTCTCAGTGACCTGACCTGACCTGACCTAACCTGACTGGTTTCCGTACAGAACGCCTCTCCGCCGGTGGAGGCGATCCAGTACGGGATCCCCGAGGAGACCCTGTTCAACTACGGCCTCATCATCATCTGGGTCATCGCCAACACCACTATCCTGCTCGGGGCCATCTGGAGTGCCACTGTCAAATACGAACTGTGAGTACTAAGCCAAAAGATCAAACGTAATATAGCATTGAAGTTATCGTCATCTATTAATGATATTTCGGAATTTACTTGCGAAACATTGTACTATCGCGGCATTGGTCTCGACCTTGTGCTGAGCAGGGTGAGTCGACGGATATTGCCGTGTCGCAGCTTCGGCCTCCAATCAGTCCCTTACCGACCCATGGTCTACCACTGACTGACGACTCCCGTCGTCCACTCTCCCCCTTGGTCACCAGTGATATCTGCAGTCCGGACGCCCAAAAGCCCAAATTATCCACCACCATCCACCACCTCCCCACAGACACACTCAGGAGGAGCAGGCGCGCCGGGACGGCCCGGCCGGCGGCCGCTCGGCCTCAGTGACCACCACCCAGCCGGCGGCCGGCGAGCTCTCCTCCACACCTGTGACGGTCATCTCGGCCGTGGCCGCCATCGCGCTCATCATCACCTTCCTGCTGCTCTCCTACTTCTTCCCCAAGGTCATGTGTAAGTACCATTAGAAGGGTCTGAATCGTGCTCGGATGAGGGTATGAGTTACGACTGAACTAGGTGCCATTGTGGTTTGTGGGTCAGCTACCTGTCATATACAATTATGATTCAGTTTTATCCTAAAAGAGTAGGATTATCTCAAAACTTCCGTAGGCCAACTTTAGTTTATAGAAGTTGTGAGTGGCGTTACCTTTTTTAACCTGGTAAGTATCATAACAATCAGCCATTGAAGGTCTTAGCAAATTTTGAAAGCTGCCGTCGTGAATATGCTTTAAATTTTCCGTGAACTTATAATTGGCCATGTAGTGTCCCTGAGCTCCATGTTTCCACATTTCACCGTGTCTCTCTGTTGGCAGATTACGTGGTGTTGGTGTTGTTCTTCATCGGCTCTGTGTCCGGAGTGTACACCTGCCTGAGCGCCGTCAACGCGCGCATGCCCTGCAGCTGCGACCTCGGACTGTGAGTAGTACAACTGTGGGTAAACTGAGACAGATGTGTCTCAGTGAATAATGGAGAGCAGACTGGTATCAAGGGCCGACTGAATAACCAGTGAAGTTCGGGCCTCGGTTTGTTACTTTAATTTGGTACAGTGAAGACCTAAGAAAGGACAGCTCGACCACTTTGCAAGGGCAGACTGTGGGTAAGCCAAGGGAGCTGAGCCCACAGTTATAAGGGGTGACAGTCATAAATGTGGACAACCCGTGGCAGCTGCTGCCATCTTGCATTGTGCCAACTAGGCTGATGCCGTTTTACTGAGAGAACATGAATTAAAAAGTGATGTGCAGGCGGTGATCGAACTCAATAGAGTGCATTGTTCTCTGTCCCACAGGGCTCCGGCGGTGACGACGCGCTGCTGCTCGTGCCGGGTGCGCGTCTCCCAGCTGCTCCTGTTCGCCGTATCGCTGGCCGCCGGTATCGTCTGGCTGGTGTTCCGTGATAACGACGTCTGGGGCTGGGCGCTGCAGGACGTGCTTGGAGTGGCCTTCACGTGAGTAGCGCGGGGACTTTGTAGTGCTTAGTTTGCTCGTTAGCAGTGCGGAAATGTTATCGTGGTTAGCTGCATTGCATGGGCCTTTTTAGTTGTGTTGGGACTTTCTTGTAAGTTTTAGTGTTGGACCCCTTTGGAAGTAGGGGGAGGTATTCTTGAGTAGTGCAGCGGCCGACAGGCTATCTTTTATAGGACGGCCCTGTGCGCCCTCTGGATTGGACGGAATGTACGATTTAAAATGAGAACAGCAATTAGTACAATTTTTTATTAGTTGTTACGCTAGTCACCACACTATGCCTGCCTAATTTTCTCATCTCAAATATGTGATTTGCGTGGCATGATTAAAATATAATCCGTGACATTTGGGCCGCATCGACGGCTGACTAATCCGTGACCTCGACGTCTTCTTCCAGAGCCCAAACAACCTTGATTCTTGATTCTTGACCGCCCGTCTGTTTTCAGGCTGTCGCTGATCCGCTCCTGTCGGCTGCCCAACCTGCGCATCATGACTTTCTTCGCCGTCGGTCTCCTCATCTACGACATTTTCTTCGTGTTCATCACACCGTTGTTCACAGCTGTGAGTATGACGGAGTGTAAAGATTTGCCACTTATAGAAGCAATGCTGAAACACTTGTATCTTCTCGCTAGCCTAACGATATTTAGGCATAAGGGCATGGTGTAGTGATTGCATTATTCGTTGCGATAGTAGATGGGACAGAATGCGATACCTTTCACCAATCCCTTTTCCCTTGTCAAGCTGACCACACTTTCCAGCCGAAATATGTTGCATGTGTCCTGACATCTGTCGTTCCGTCTTTTCAGAACGGCAAGAGCATCATGGTGGAGGTGGCCACCGGCGGCGGCGACTACATCCTGCCCATGGTGCTCAAAGTGCCGTACATCGTACACTCGCAGTACCCCGAGTGCCAGTCGCCGCAGTCTTTCTCCCTGCTCGGTCAGTAACCAGAGGGAACACTATCGAAACTGGGATACCGGGAGATCGTACACATACGTGAAAACTTATGTGTTAAGTGAATGAACCACTGCCATGAAACCCCGTTCAACCGCAGTGCGAGAATACAGGTCCATTAATTGGATGTAATCATCTCCTTACTCGTGTGTGGTTGTGCGCATCCATATTCTGGCCTATTCTCCGTTTCCTGGTGTCCAGTGCGGTCACTTGTATCGTCTGACCGCTGTCCTCCTCTCTCGTCTACAGGGTACGGAGATATCATCGTGCCGGGCTTCATAGTGGCGTACTGTGCGTCCATTGACAAGATTCACGGTATCGCCTATCACGCCTACCTGGTCACGGCGGCCACAGGTGAGGATGAGTACTGTCGAGGTGCCGCGTGTCTCGGTGTCTGTTCTCTGGACAACCATGGGGTAACCATTCTTACAGATTGCACTGTGGGGTCGGACGTGGGTCTGCCGTGATGACCTACTGAATGCCGTGGATCTGGAACTGACATTGCCCTAATGCCTACGCAGTAGTGGCTGCGGCGTGGGCGTTGTGCAACTCAGCTGTACACGAGTACACTCAGCGCCTCAGCGGTACGGGTGTGGACCCCGATGACCGCCGCAGTTCGGGCGCCTTAAACCCCAAATCATCATCAGGGTACGGCGTAGGCTTGTGGTTACGCTGTTTAGGTCATTAGGGCATGGTGGTGGGTGACCCCCCTGTAAGTTACACACTACACAAAATACGATGGGTGGGCCTAATCGTGATTCCTTGTATGCCGTGAGCCTTATAGTGACTCCCCCTCTCTCATTCCCAGGTTACGGCGTGGGTCTGATAGTGACGTTTGTGGCGCTGTACGCCATGGAGGCGGCCCAGCCGGCGCTGCTGTATCTGGTGCCGCTCACCCTGCTACCTGTCGTGGTAGTGGCGCTCATCCGACGGCAGCTCAAACTCCTCTGGCACGGAGCCAAACAGGCGAGTCCCTAACGCGACAACAGCGTATCTGTCTCTGTCTGTCTGTCTCTGTCTCTGTCACTCTCTCTCTCTCTCTCTCTCTCTCTCTCTCTCTCTCTCTCTCTCTCTCTCTCTCTCTCTCTCTCTCTCTCTCTCTCTCACTCTTTCTCGCTTTCTCTCTTTCTTTTTGCTCTCATGCAAGCTCTCACTCCACTTTTTCCTTGCAATAACGGTATCCACTGCTCATCAACTAACCCCGGACAAGTGAGACAGACCAGCCTACGCACCTCCGTCACATCTGAATAAACAAGCAGGCCTGGACCGCCATGCGTATGTGCGTTCCCCCGTGGTGTGCGTGACACTCAGTATGAAGAGGTCACTAACCGGAGCGGTGGACTCTGACCTCCTCCCCCCCCCCCTCCTGTTCATCATCTGGCAAATGTATCAGTTGCCAGGCCGGCCGGCTCTGCGGGCTGAAGTGTGGGTGAATGGGGGACGTTTTTCAAAACACCGTGCCGGCCGGCGGCGGAGGAGGGGGAGGTGGCTAGCGCGGGGTAGAGACTGGGATGATACTGGGCGTGGGAGAAGCATTGGTTCGTCTCAGGGCGGTGTCGCCTTGGTGGAACGCCAGCTCCCACTGGGTACGGGTAGGTCAGGGGGACAGTCTGTTGCAAACGGAATCACGACTGAGGGTTTGTCTGACCCCTCCGCCCGTGTGCCATGCTCGCGTCGTGCTCGGTGACTGGTCACTGCTCCCCGCCAGTGTCTGTTTTGTCTGCCACTGAGGCGGGGCGGGGGACATAAGAAGGCTTATGACCGACTTTGCGGCCTGCGCGCTGTGTTTTTGTTTTGTCATACGGCTTCTGAGCCGTGGCGCCGCTTGTTTGCGTTTGGCGGCACTGCACAGTGGGCCGGGCGGCCGCCAGGAGCGCTGGAAATTATTTGCGCTCGAGTTATCGTTCAACTGACTGTGAAAACATTTCATTTACAACGTTTAGCGAGATACCACACCAATAAGATGTAAATTCAAGACTTCTAATACCATGCATGCATGCATGTTGCAATTTGCATACACTGCACTTAGTTTACTGAGGAGTTCAAAAGGCGTCATTCCTGGTAAGATTTTAACACACTTCCCGGCACTCACAGTTTCTCCATTAATGACCGACACATGAATTGGTCAAGGATACAATCTTCTCTCTCTCTCTCTCTCTCTCTCTCTCTCTCTCTCTCTCTCTCTCTCTCTCTCTCTCTCTCTCTCTCTCTCTCTGTCTCTCTGTCTCTCTGTCTCTCTGTCTCTCTGTCTCTCTGTCTCTCTGTCTCTCTGTCTCTCTGTCTCTCTGTCTCTCTGTCTCTCTGTCTCTCTGTCTCTCTGTCTCTCTGTCTCTCTGTCTCTCTGTCTCCCTGTCTCCCTGTCTCCCTGTCTCCCTGTCTCTCTCTCTCTCTCTCTCTCTCTCTCTCTCTCTCTCTCTCTCTCTCTCTCTTTCTCTCTCTCTCTCTCTCTTTCTCTCTCTCTCTCTCTCTCTCTCTCTCTCTCTCTCTCTCTCTCTCTCTCTATCTGAGGGTCGAGGCTTCGCATCGGAGGGTCGAGGCTTCGCATCGACCCTCCCCTGCCTGTTGTAGGATATAGAACCCCTCATATTGAAGGATATATTTCTTAAACTAGCAGGGAAAGCATACAAAATCGACTACGGTTGGAAAGTGTAACACTAGCCCAATCTTTTTATACCGTCAAAATTAGGTGCCCGAAGTTACATTTTTATAAACGTATAATTTAATACATCTTTAATATTTCCTCTAATATTTTTGAAACCTGCTGCAAGCTTACTATATATAGGATCAAGTGAGTGATCCCAATGAATTCGGTTATGAATACGATCACAATATGCCCCTGTAGAAGGTATTGTAAAGTTCAGAGCGCTGGGCATCCCCGTTTTTGCACTGTCGCGAAAATAAGGTTTCGCATCGACCCTCCCCTGCCTGTTGTAGGATATAGAAACCCTCATATTGAAGGCTATATTTCTTAAACTAGCAGGGAAAAGCAGAAAAAATCGACTACGGTTGGAAAGTACAACACTAGCCCAATCTTACTATGCCGTCATAATTAGGTGCCCGAAATCACATGTTTGAAAGAAATGTAACTCAATGTATCCTTAGTATTTTCTCTAATATTTTTGAAAAATGCTGCAAGCTCACTTTTTATAGGATCAAGTGAGTGATCCCAATGAATTCGTTTATGAATACGATCACAACATGCCCCTGTAGAAGCTATTGTAAAGTTCAGCGCGCTGGGCAACCCCGTTTTTGCACTGTCGCGAAAATAATGTTTCGCATCGACCCTCCCCTGCCTGTTGTAGGATATAGAACCCCTCATATTGAAGGCTATATTTCTTAAACTAGCAGGGAAAAGCAGAAGAAATCGACTACGGTTGGAAACTACAACACCAGCGCAATCTTATTATGCCGTCAGAATTAGGTGCACGAAATCACATGTTTGAAAAAAATATAATTCAATGTATCCTTAATATGTCCTCTGATATTTTTGAAACATGCTGCAAGCTTACTATATATAGGATCAAGTGAGTGATCCCAATGAATTCGGTTATGAATACGATCACAATATGCCCCTGTAGAAGCTATTGTAAAGTTCAGCGCGATGCGCATCCCCGTTTTTGCACCATCGCGAATATAAGGCTTCGCATCGACCCTCCCCTGCCTATTGTAGGATATATAAATGAAGCAATTTGCAATTTTCAGGGCTCAAACGATAGAAAATTGAATTTTCTACAAGATGGTTATCTCGGATTTTCAAAATATTGAGTTTTAGGGGTCCAAAATGTCAAACCAAATTTTGAGAAAAATTTGATTTTTTTCAAAAATTTGAATTTTTCAAAAAAATGAGACAAGTTGTCCTCGGGCATCAAAAGAAGAATCAGCATGCAAAATTTCAAGTCCGTAGCTCAATATTTGGTTGCTATAGAGGGCGCAAAAAGTAACAAAATATCCAATTTCATTTTTCAAACTCAAATTTTTGGTACTTATAGGGGTCGTAGAGCAAAACAAAAGACATTTTTGGAATCCTGAGATAAAACTGCATCAGATAGCATGTTTTGAATTCAAAATTTTGAATTTTGAAAATTTCGAATTTTTAACCCCTTTTTTCACTTTTTCACCATTTTGCGGGGGTCAAATCTCCAAATTCTTGCCACCATCGTGTTCTACGTCCAAAACTACCCCAAAAACATGTGTCACACGGTATTTAAATGTTATTTTGAAAATTCGACTTTGTGTGACCTTTGGTGACCTGACCTTGACCTTGACCTGTGCTCCAATTCGCTTTAGACACAATGAGACTTTTCTTACATCTTTTGGGCACATGCCAAGAAATTTTGAGCTCGCTGCTGTCGGTAGTTCGGTCTCTGGGGCCCAAAATGAAAACCCCTATTTTTTACCTTTGACCTGACCTTGACCTCAAGTTTGACCTGAGAACCAAATTTAAGTATTCATCAGATGCGTCTTGTTTAGAGCTTTCGTTTGCCGCCTCGCCTGTCCCGCTGCGACTAACCGTTCTCGAGTTATGGGCTGGGGACGTCTGACGGCCCCCCCCCCCCCCCCCAGCAAGTGGTGTTATGAAAATACCCCAGCAAATGCCGGGTTAAAACAAGTTTTAAATGCTAATCGAACACATCTTGTTGAGACCTTTCGATCGCTGCCATGCGCATCTCGCTGCGACCATTTGTTCGCAAGTTATAGGCTAAGGACGTTCACTACCCCTCTCCCAACCAGATGGTATAAAAATACCCCAGCAAATGCCAGTATAGCTCCTAAACTAGCAGCGAAAAGCAGAAAAAATCGACAACGGTTCGAAAGTACAACACTTGCCCAATCTTATTATGCCGTCAGAATTAGGTGCCAAAAATAACGTTTTTATATAAGTCTAATTGAATATAAGCTTATGTAGATGTCTGCAACATGTTGCAAACTCACTATTTAGAGTGCAATCAGATGAGTGAGCCCAATGAAATTGGTTATGAACATGATCACAATAACCGTGTGCATCATGTGCAGTCGTTTATTTTCACCAATAAGATGTTCATTCATGAGAAAAGAGCAATTCAAAATCTAGTCGAAATCGTTCAGATAGCCGCTTCATTCCCTAACCGTCAGTTAGACTGTGTTCGGAGCTGAATATTGGCCGTGACATCGGTCTCATACTTATTCACGGCACGGCATCGTATCCTATGATCAATTTCGAGTCTGTGGGTATTAATTTTTTGCACCCTGAGCACGTTTCATTTTTCGGCATTTCTAGCGCTCCTGGCGGCCGGCCGGCCTACTGTGCACTGGAACGCTGCCGGATGGCCAGTGTGGGTAGGAATAGCAGGGACAGTCACTGACCGACCCCAGGGGAGCTTCATACATAACAGGGTGCGACAGCGTGGGGTAGGGGGGACGCACAGCAGACGAACCTTCTACCGTCCGCAAAGGCTGCCTAGGGCGACACAGCACTGCTGCAGGGTGATTGATAGCTTCAACACGCGCCTATCAAAACGACATGCTATGGGTCAAATGCGCATTGAGAATTATTATAGTTTATTCCTGTAGAGTGTATGTTTATAGCCTTGTTTTTAACTATATTTGCATTTGTATACGTTTCATATTTGTGACTACATCCGTTATTGGGTGCCCATGCCCGTTGATGCTTTATTCATTAAACAAATAAGCAAACTTCTCAAGCGTGATATCGACCTCAACGCTCAGAGCGCGTAATGGGCATGGCACCGTTGGCAAGGCGCATGACACCATTTTCATGGAAGCTGATTACGTCCACTGGATGAGAGCATATATCGTCCCAGTACAGTGGTCCATATTAGATCTGTACAGCGGTATTTTCTATTTCTCCTCTAAAAGACACGGAATTAGTAGTCAAAGCTTTCGCGACAGCTTCAATGCTCGGCATTTTTTTTCGGATGAGTCACGTTTGCTTTTTAACACGACCAATGACTGTTGCCTCATCGTAA